GAAATAAGTAAATCTCGACTAGTTTGTGTCTTTCTTCCGAGATGTTGACTAACTAAATTCATGCAGCGATGCCTTCCTTTTGAGACACATGCAGGGTTTACACGCCGTTTTTACCACGGCAGGTGGAAAAAAGTGGGAAAAATAAAACATGCCGACCCATGTATGTATTTATGTATGTAGTAATGAGAAGGGCCCAACTATGTAACTTCTTTAATAATCGGCAATTTTGGAATCATACCTGTTCACCTTCATTCACGTGACTGATTATGACGGAGAATAATTGTGAATGAAAATGAATTTCCTGTAATTTAAATGAAAATGGGTGAAAAATTCAAGTCATTTCAGATGAGGGACTGTGAATGAAAGGATTTCTCACTTCTTTCAGTTTTTACCCTATGCGTAATACATGGGGCGATGTAAGAAATGAAGTCAGATGAAGTGAAATGAAATGAGTATGCAAGAAAATGGCAGAATGTAAATAAAAATCTTCAGTCAGAAATCGGAATGACTTAACTTTTGAATGCAATTTTGAATGAATGAATCAAGATTTTTGAACAGGTGGTAAAAATTGCCTTTATCCCACTGTCAGCTTGGTGTGCACGAATCGAAACCTTGGACACGGGGAAACCCAATGATCCCATACCTAAATTTACTTTTATTTAGATTCATGCACCGATGACTGCCCATTTGGCCAAAGTGTTTACATGGGCATTACCCCACAATTCAGAGAGTTGGATTGTGGCCTGGCCACTTTAAGCAGCGATGCTTATCTAGGGGTTTCAGTCCCGGGATTTTATTCCCGGGAATTCCCGCGAAACGGGATCCCGAACTCCCGGGATTTGAAGAATTGAAATCCCGGGATTTCGGGATTTTTTAATTTGTCATTCAAGATTGAAAATGCCCTTCTATTTGACTTTTATTAGCGGTTTTACATAATTTGGGGTTATATTATTGGTAAGAGAAAGTTTCGACGAGCATAACCAGTCAAAATTCATTCTGAACTCCAAGATTAAGCTTTATACATCATGTGAAGCCACATTTTTTTATATGTCGTACATAAATATATTCAAATCTTCTAGTTCGCAAGTAAAATTTTAAATATAAACTGGAACTTAAAATTTTCTAATTTCGATGTCAGATTTAACCTTGAAGGAATAAAGAAACCTTACCCTCGGTATAATTATAGAATCTGAAATCAGTTAAACTCATAAAAGCTATGTAGAGGGTGTTCCGGAAGTAATCCAACTTTGGTCAAATGCACATAGAAACTCAACGAATGAATTTTTTAAAGTCTAAAGTAAAGAATTTTGGTCAGAAAGGGACAAAGGTTAAAGCTAATTAAGTTTTGCTTCCAATGGTCCGTACACCCCTTCCGCCAAATTTGGAGACGTTTTTGTTGGGCGCTCACAATTAGTGCTTCGCCACTGTTTTTGGTCACCTTTTTTGAGATTTTTGACCACATGTGTTGAAATAAGTTCAAATTTTTGACTGAAGTTTTTCGATTACAATATTTTTTCTAGGATAGGAACTAAAATTTTTCAATAGGTCTTGTATTTGACAAATTTGGGAACGTTGTTCACCTCTCCCATGTTAATTGCATTTGATCCGTTTTAAGGCGGAGCGTGATACTTTGGCTTATATTTAATTTCCAGTTTTGCATAAATGGTTTTCTTGAAGGTGGGAGAGTTGTACTATGTGCAAATAAAAGCATTTTGATAATCTGAGCAGTAAATCGTCTTGTACAGGACGATCAATTTTGGTTAATTTTAATTACTTCAGGTCAAGGATTTTTTCTGGCCTCCTGCTTGCTACTTTTATTTTACTCTTGACTATATTTATAAGCTTCTAGAACCTTCTAGGATTTGATGTCCAACTTCTAAGCTTTCAAATAATGTATGGTGTTCTGTGAGAACTTCAAGTACTTCAGCGAATGTCGCTCCGACATAACAAATTTCTATCTACACGAAGTTTATTACTTCCGGGGCTGCCACACGAATGTACCGGCCAGATATTTTTTGCGATTAGTCGTTTTTTGCAGCTCATACCTTAGTATAACACAACAAATCGTCACTTTTGGAATTTCTTATTTTTTAAAGTGAACACAGCTCAATTTCTTGGAGCGCGTAACCACTTTTTCGAGGTAGTGGCAGACGATGGTTGCGAGTTGCTTGGTGGTATTTGACCTCATTTTGGAACGGATAGAGATATCGACTTCTGGTTTTCGGATTCTACTAGATAAATGTGTGGACTACAATATTCACCCAATTTCGAATTTGGGGCAAATTGATACCCTTGCATATATGCATTTTACCAAAGTTGCATTACTTCCGGAACACCCTCTAACATGTTAGCAGTGCATAGTTTCGAATTTTAGTCGATCAATTTAAGGCACAATGAAAGGCTGAACGAGGTAGTTCATATATGTGAACTTGAAATTTTTGAATGGCCAAATTTTATGTACAATTGTAGTTTTTGTATAATAGTACCCAAACAATAAACGCGTAAATTTATTCATTTCAGGTTAAAATGCCGGCAAATTGTTGATTAATTATTTACCCATAAGTTTTCTGGAATGAAATTATTTAAATTTTTCTTGCCACCTCTCCAAGACAGAGGGCAAAAAATTATATAGGCTACAACATTACACCGACATTTTACATTTACCATAGCAGGCAAAGCAATATAATCGCTAATTTGTGCTGCTATCATATGCATTTTGAGAAGGCCAGAAAATTCCATACCTTATAATAATAATTACGGATGCACAGATCCCGAAAAAAAACATAAGTATATAGGTCCAGCAGTATTATGAATATGCATATTCTGTCCTTTTTGAAGTCATGTACCCTTTTGTATGCTCAAATTCGACTTTCTGGGCTAATGAGGTACTGTTTGAATTTCGGGAAAAAATCCCGGGATCTTGCACGGCTAAAAACGGGATTCCCGATTCCCGGGATTTAAAAAATCCTCCGGGATTGGAATCCCTATGCTTATCAGTCCATCCGTTGGGTAGTACATATGCTTGCTAGCTTGTAGTTATGCGTGTTTACAAGTGTGAGTATCTATACATAAATACATATTTAATACGTTGTTAGACAAATTTAAGTATAGCACGGAATTTATTTAATGAATTAAAAATAATAAATCATAAACAAATCATGTACATATACAGGGTGGTTTAAATGTCAGGTTACAATGGTAAATTTTTCAATGGGAAAAATTCGCAAATCCCCATTAGTTACCGAAATTTTGCCTCTGAAATTCAATATTTTAAGAACTTCGTCATCAGTGATCCATAAGTTTTGATAAAAATTAATAAAAATCTCAATCCCAAATCCGTAACTATATAATGGAAATTTACGAATTTTTCCCTTTGAAAAATTTTCCATTGTAACCTGACATTTAAACCCCCCTGTACATACATACATACATTGGCACCCTAACCAGATTATACTAATTTTTTGCCATAATATGCAAGAATCCTTTGGCAAAGAAGGTTAAGTATGTATTTACCAGACTAGGCTCATAATTCGGAGCGTATATTTATATAAGGTACGTTGTGTTGAAAAGCATATAGTTTGTGTAATTAATTTTAGACCTTTTGCTAGATATTAGCTGTATGTAAAAAACTATGTACTTCAAAACTGAGTCGATTAGAATATTTATACAGAGGGTGTGCGAAGGTTTGGTGCAAATATTTAACAATTGTTCTCGCTTACAAGACTACCGAGTCCTTTTCACTGCTAAACTTTTGCGCGATATGTTGGCCCATGGTGGTCCTATCGTGGTTGGCCCTTTACTAATTATAATTAGAAACACCTACTTCAAGCAACTTTGTGGGCAAGATGGCATTAATGATTAATGCCATCTTGGTAATTAATGGCAACACATTTGGGTGGAAATAACCCCCACCGGCCAACCACTTGACCGATCATGCCCATCTTCGAACTCATCCTTACTATTTACCCGAAGATGAAGTATGCAAAATTTGTAATCGATAGCTTTTGTTTAAAGAGAGTTATCGTGCCTTCAGATGGACGGACGGACAGACATCTTGACAAATCTATAAGGCCATCTTAAAAGGCCTAAAAAGGCGTTAACAGGGAAAGATTAGATTAAAGCCAATACGCACTGTTTATTTTGAAACTTCTGTAAAATTGGTGTCGAGATAGAAATTTCTGACAATCCAGGCAGCAAACTGCTGCAAATCACATCACCAGTTTCACGTATTCTAATTCCAAAGTCCTACATATACTTGGATATTCGGTTCGAGAACCTGAATAAAACTCCCATCGAACATATTCCTCCAGCTAGAAATCAATCTATTCGACTGAAATTTGACAGAATAATTAGCTGAATCAAAAGAATGTCTTGGGAAAATAAAAATTTCATCAGCTTCAAGCTAATGCGACTTGAGAACCTTATTAAATTGGTGAATCCCACAAAAGTGTTACACTAACCGTGGTTTATAGTTGCAGTTAGTGTTGCCGATACGTTCTAAATGAGTTGAAGACGGTGTGGCCTACAATTCGCCAAGTTGTGGAACATTGAATTTCTGAGCATTTTCGAACTCCCAATAAATTTAGGATTAAATCGTGCAAATTTCAAATAAATACAAAATTTTTAACTATTGCAATTTGAGACCAAACTTTTATGAGCCGTAACTAAGCAACAAATGAGCCCTAAATGACTTGTAGCAAAGTCAGCCCACAAGTTACCAATTTGAAAGTTTTTGTGTTGTAATAATCTATATCATTGCACCCTGAATTTATCTAACAGTCCAAAATGCTTATAATTTCAATTTTGCACAAGATGGTGACTTATTTATTACAGTAAATTTAAGGCAACTCATGTTCAACTCATTTGGAACTCATCGGGAACACTAGTGTGACTTAAGTTGTTTAATTTATTAGTGATGGTTTTAGGATGATCGGTACGAAATATGACTGATACGTGCACTGTTAATATTTGAAAATTATTTAGTATTTTATCAAACACTGTTACTCATCAACTAGATCTTTATTTAGAACTCAATCCCAGCATTTTCATTTACATCATTGTCTATTTACATATCTATGCACGTATCATAGTACGCAATTTCTTTTCTATAATCAGATGCATTTATGTATGTATGTATGAAGAAAATATAATACACGCAATTGTAATTAATTAAGGCCCTTCAGGTAATTAATTACCGTGTAAATATATGTTCGGAAAACGTTCAGGTTTAAGCAAATAATGGTCCCAAAACAACAGTAATTTGTAATTTGTAAGTTTCAACCCTACATATAATTGAAAAGTATTAGTTACTCAAACCTAATACAATATTCACTAATGACTAACAGAAAAATATTAATTTGTTTTGGTTAGAGTTTGAGCTTAGATTTCATCAAGTAAATAATTTTTAAAGACAGATAACGATCTCACAAAATTGTGTGGTATGGATAATCCTGCAAGCCTATTTACATTATTACAATTTTTTTACCAGTTATTGTTTTTTTGGAAAAGTGATAACTCACTAGCTAAATCAGATATCAGCCTGTTTTGGATAGACCCAAGATTCAACAAGTTTCGAGATGAAGTTAACCAGACTCTCAAGGTCCTCACTGTCGGCAAATTCGTTAAGACTCATATGCACATTTCCGCCAAGGAAGGTGGATATTTGGTTTTTAATCTCAATCATCATTAATGAATCCAATCCTAGCTCAGAAAATTTTCGATTGATCCCACTGTTTTGGTCCAATTCAAGAACTGAAGATATAATCCTTTCGACATGGTTACGAATTACGGAAGTACGATCAATTTCGCTATTGCAGGCTTCAACCTCATGCCAAAACATTTCGGAGGTGACGAAGTCAATTTTTTTTAACCCATCCGTTTTTCCTTTCTGGCTGCCCTCTGATTCCAGGATATTTACTAAAAAGTTTTTAATCCAAGGAATTCGTTGTACCAATTTGGGAACATTCATTGCAACTGGACAAAGTTGATTGGACTTTGACTTTAAAGCAACTTCTAAGGCATCCAAAGCTTGCTTCGTGGAGATGGGGTGAAGCCCGGAAATATGTTGTCCCGCAGCTAGCCCAACTTCTCCCCAGTGTCCAAAGTTTATAGAAATTGCTGGAAGACCTAGGGCGTGTCGGTAATGAGAGAGTGAATCTAAGAACGCATTAGCGGCTGCATAATTCCCCTGCCCAGGGGTTCCAATTAGTGAAGTAATCGACGAAAAGAGTACAAAATACTGAAGATTTAAATGTTTAGAAAGTTCGTGGAGATTCCAACCGCCATGGAATTTGGGGTTCAGAACTTTGATTAATGACTCCTTTGTCTGGTTTAGGAACGCGGCATCCGACAGAACACCAGCGCATTGAAATATCCCTCTAAGTGGTGAATGAGGGAATTTCTCCTTCATCCAGGAGAATACATATGCACAGTCAGACAGGTTACTTACGTCCCCACGTTTCCAAATTATATCGCAGCCTACAAATCATTTAACAATGTGGTTGGAGAATTGTTTCATTATAACATTATAATTAGAATTCTAACATTGTAGGAAACTCACCGCGATTTTTCAGATCATTAATTTCGTCCTGTCGTTCCGAGGTTGGAATATTTCGGCTCATCAGGATAATCCGATTTGCACCATTCATCAACATCCAGTTCATCAATTCCCACCCAATGCCGCCGCATCCTCCTGTTATGAGATAGCTACTTCTGTCACTAAATAGTGTGTTTTCCTTGCCTGGCATACTAACAACTACTTTTCCGATATGTTTCGCCTTTTCCAGGAAATGCATTGCATTTATTATTTCGTTTGAATGAAAGTGAATGTAAGGTAAAGGCTTTAGTAATTCCGTTGCAACGTGTTCTAGAGACGACATCAGTGTTGTATTTTCGGCTGACCATTTAAAATCTTCAATCGAGTACTTGATATCCGGTCGAAGAGATAGACACTCTTCTTCTGTCCAAACGTTAATTTTACTCATTTCGATGAATCTAAAAAATAAAGTAAAAACTGTAGACATTTATATATACTTTGTAAGCCAAAAGTACCTTCCACCCTTCCTGATGCAATTTAAAGATGCTTCTTTAAACCCTGGCCCAGTTAAGGAGTTAAGAACGATATCGACTCCAGCTCCACCAGTTGCCAAATTTACGTCAGATTCGAATAGCAGGTTCCTTGAGTTGAACACATGCTTTATCCCAATAATATGTTTCAGGTACGCTCGTTTTCTCGAACTTCCCGCCGTGGCTATGACATTTGCTCCTACTATATTTGCAAATTGTACAGCTGCTAGTCCAACCCCTCCTGAAGCTGCATGAATCAGGATTGTATCGCCTTTTTTCATCTTGGCAACAATGTCCAGGCATAGATAAACAGTTAAGGCAACGGTAGGTAGAGTTGAAGCTTCATCATGAGTTAAAACCTTTGGTAACTTGCAGACCATCTATCACAGTTTAACTGCTTAGCGAGTTTTATCAAAGGATTAAAGTTTGTGACATATTAAAAAATGGTTGCTTACCTTCTCAGAGGTGATAACGTGTGAAGATAGCGCGACGTTTTGGCTATTATATCCAAACACCATGTCCCCAACTTGATAATTATGTACGGAAGTTCCAATTCGGCTAATCACTCCGGAGAAATCGCTTCCAATAATGTCTATGTTTTCAAAGGCTTTTGAAGGCTTTAGAACTGCGAAAATGTCACGAAAGTTTAGCGAATATGCATTCACTTTGACTTCCAGTTCGTTCACTTCCAGTTCCGAAATTGGTGGTATATCTACAAACTTTAGGTCTGAAATCAGATGTGAAGTTGGAAGCCGTAGGCAAAATGTGGGAGTACTTGGCAGATGAAGAAAGTTAGAAGGCTTAAGCTTCGTCAATTTTTGGGTTAGCCGAACTCCTTCTTTGTAGCAAATACTATTTCCGCCACTTTCGGCGGCTGAATTTTCAGAAATTTCGTGAATAATATTTTCAATATTCTCCTTACTTAAAGAATCCAGATCAATTAATTTACATTTTAGGGTAGAATTTTCGGATTTAAATGAACGAAACATTCCTATAAGTAAACCGGCCGTTGGCTGTTCGTCGGATTCCTCAACATTAATCGAGACACATTGTGTCCCCTTGGTTAGGAGCAATAGTTCCGACAAATTCATTGAGGATAACGTGATTGCTTGAAGTAGGTGAAACCACTTTTCAATTATCGACTGATCTAGCACAGTTTTCAATCCCCATGCAAAGATTATTCCGTCCGATATAGGAAAGTTCGATAAAATGTTCATGAATGCCTCCTTTGTGTTCCCATTCGTTTCAATATATTGGGCTGAAATGATTTCCTCCGCTCCAAGTATAATTAGTGTAACAGTTTCGCTGGATACGCTAAGTTGTTGCATTAAATCTTTTGTGAAGGTGTCATGAAATCCGAAAATCAGCCAGTTTCTTGGTTTTGAAAGTGGTTCAGAGACTTGTCCTCCCGTATAATTTTCTCTCCACTCCAGTTCATATACTGGACACTGGCTAATCGGATTGAGACTGGAATGAAGCTTTTCCTCTAGACTGGCCAAGCTTTGGGCAAGAACGTCAATTCCTTCCATTGATGCTAATATCTTGCCAGTTGAGTTGTACAAATGTACTGCTCCTGTCTCATAACATTTTTTGAGGTAGAAATGCAGGGACGAATCGTTTTCTGTATGTTTGTTCATGTTATAAACTGTAAGACGTCGAATGGCGACAGGAAGCATGATGGTACCTTCGATTGTTGCTCTTTTTTTCATGGACATTGCATGAAACTGTAGCATACTATCCAGCACAACAGGATGCAAGATGAATCTGGCATCTGGAAAACTTATACTTATAACCTGAGCAAACTATAGAACTAAATATGTTCGTTATGGATTTACCAAAGTCGGTCTGAACAAGTTTGGCTTTTGCATACTTGTTAAGTTTCTGATCTTCCCATCGGGACGTAATGCTTAGAAAGGATGGTCCAAAATTATATCCTTCTGTGGCGAAGTTTCTATACTGTTCTTCCATTGGGATTGATGAGGGTATTTCATTGTCCTCAAGTAATGGGAAGAGATCCTTCGCACATTTCAAATCCTGCGACCAAGACTCCTTAATCGTTCCTTGGGAATGTTGTAACCACGTGTCCGCATCTACAAGGGTAAAAATTTTAACTATGTTGCCCTCCAATACTGTATGATAAGTTGATTCCTTTTTTGTGACAAAGCTAGGGTTTTTAACACTAAAATTCTCAATCGTGAAGTGGTCCACATTTCTGGTGTCACTGTCTGGGGTCAGGTAACGTGACGCCAAAGTCATTTCTAGGAAGGCTGAGCCTGGCATTATAACGCATTGTCCGATGAGATGATCTCCCACCCATCGGTTTGAATCAACTGTTATTTTATTTTCAAATCTTTTGATATTCATTTCCGAAGCTTGAGGTTGTACCAGCTGTCTCCCTAATAGAGGATGAACGTCCTTCATTGAAGATGGGAAATAATCAGTTTCGTCTGATTTAAATGGAAACCAAAACGACTTCCTCTGGAAGGGATAGAACGGGAGGGACACTTTCTTCGCGTCATGTACTTGGTGAAAATTTGGAAAATCAATTGAAACCCCGCGAACAAACAAGTTTCCGATAGCTTCGAGGAACACCTCCAGCTCGTTGCCACCTCTCCTCATGGATTTGACGCATTGAGGAGCGAATGATAAATTTGAAATAATTAAACCTGAAAGGACCGGATGTGGACCGACTTCGAGGAATATATATTGTCGATCGGAATTATCCTCCTGGATTAGTTTTTCGATTGCTTCCATTGCTTGAATGAATTGGACTGGTTTTCTCAAATTCGAAACCCAATATTCTGGAGTTATGGTTGCCTTGTCGGTACCATCGACACAGGAAACGAATTTACAAGTTGGTGTCACGACGTCTTGTCTCAGGGTCATCAAAGTTTCTTTGAATTTATTGATTATAGAATCCAAAGCTCTCGAGTGAAATGGGTGGGAGGCATCTAAGATGGTAGATCTGACTCTATTGTTTCGACAAAATTCTGCAAAATCTTCAATTGCAGCAGGAGGTCCGGATATGGTAGTTTGTTGTTTCGAATTGCAGGCAGCAATATCAAGCCAAGCTGCGTTTGTTGTAGGCCGCTCCTTTAGAAATTTGCCAATTAGTGCTTGACATGCGTCGCTGTCAGCGCTAGCAGCCAACATTTTTCCACTTGGCAGTGTCTCAATTAGCTTGCACCGTGCTCCTACTATTTTCAATGCATCTTCAAGGGTTATCAGTGATGCGGCAGTGGCTGCAGCAAACTCCCCCAAACTATGGCCAAGTACAATTGATGGATGCACCCCAAGTGATACCCATAATTTAAATAGGGAGTACTCGATTGCAAAAATCGAACACTGAGAGTATAATGATTGCTTGAGACGACCGTTTGTTATCCCTTCTCCATAAAGTGCATCTTTAATGTCTAGTCCATACATTTTGAAAATTATTTGGAAACACAAATCGAATTGTTCCTGTAAATAAGTACAAAAAGTTTAGTAAGCATTATGACGAGTCTCATGGAAAATCTACTTACTTTAAAAACCGGAAATGTGTCATAAAGCTGGCTACCCATTCCTTTATATTGCGTCCCTTGTCCTGGAAATAGGAAGCATATCTTTGGTTCTTTCTGTACAATTCCACTTGACCAATTTTTCGTGTCTAATTTTTGCGCCAGTTCTTCGCTGTTTCTAGCAGTGATTGCAACTCTGTTGGAAAATTTTGCTCGCCCCACGTTAGCCGTGTAGGCGATATCACCTAATCTCATGTCTGTGTTGTACAACAAATGGGTCTTGTAATTGTCAACTAGTTCTGACAAAGCCGCTGCGGATTTCGCAGAAAGTGTTAGAATATTGATCTTCATTCCCGAACCAAATGTATGCTCATTACATATCGATTTAGGAGGTTCTTGTAAAATAATATGTGTGTTAGTCCCAGTAAACCCGAATGAATTTATTCCAGCAACTTTTGGCTTATCAAATCCAGGACACCAAGGCATACTACCAGCTGAAGGTATAATGGCAGGGATAGTTGTCAAATCAATTTCTGGATTTAAGGTTTGAATTGCGATTTGCACAGGAATCAGGCCATGTCTCATGGCCATTGTGATCTTTATGAGTCCTGCAATGCCGCATGCGCTTTCAGTATGGCCAATGTTTGCCTTCCCCGCAGTTATGATCAGTGGATCTGTTCGATCAGAGGTGGAGTAGGCGTTTGATATTGCCTTGATTTCAAGCGGATCCCCCTTAGCGGTTCCAGTCCCGTGTGCCTCAACAACTTGGATTTGTTCTGGCCTCATACCTGCATCACGCAAGGAAATTCGCATTGCCAACGTTTCCATTTCAATGGTTGGTGTCCCCACGCTTTTGGTTTCGCCTTCCTGTGCTGCACCAAACCCCATAATGACGGAATGAATCCTGTCCCCATCTCGCACTGCGTCACTTAGTCTCTTCAAAATAAGGGCAGCAATACCCTCTGCCCTCGCAAATCCGTTAGCAGCGGCATCAAATGTTTTACACCTATATTCCTTTGATAGGATGACGTCATTCTGGAAGGTGGGCTTGATAATAAGGTTTGCAGTGGTGGCGATTGCGAGATTGGACGCCCCACATCTTAGATCTTGTATCGCCTGACCTACCGCAACAAAGGAAGAAGTGCACGCCACCTCAGTTGTAAGGTTGGGACCTCGTGTCTTATAAATGTGTGCCAATCGTGCCGATCCTGATGCAAAGCTGTTTCCCATGTACCATCTGAGCTCACCGGTAGAAAGAGGTGCAAATTTTTGTATTAGCTCGTTATAGTCTTGTGTCCAACACCCTGCATAAATTCCGGTCATACTACCAGCGAGAGACTGCGGGTTGATGCCTGCATCCTCTAATGCTTCCCATGAAACTTCAAGTAGAAATCGTTGTTGTGGATCGGTGAAGTTACATTCGGCTCGACTCATTTCAAAAAAATCGCCGTCAAATTCGTCCACGGGAAAAGGTACAAAGCCGCACTCCATTACACTCTTCCCCATATTACCAACTTGCTCAGAAGTCCAACGTTCATCAGGATGTGGCCGTATTGCACATTTACCGTCAAGATATGTCTTCCAGTATTCGTCCACGCCGTTGGAATCAGGCATTCGACATGACATTCCAATAACGGCGACGGGTTCGGCAGCAGTTCCGGGTTTACAGTAAGGCGTTTGTTTAATTTTACTTCGAAACTCAAACAAGTCCTATCCAAAGAAACACGCTAGCATATTATAGAAAATTAAACATACAATGTATGTAAGTTTTTCACCTTCACTCTATCCGTTGTTTGTTTGCTTGATTCTCCAAGAAAAACAATTTTTGTCGATGGCTCAAGTTCACTGTTAATGTATTAAATTAAAATGATATTGAATCGTTGTTTATAAATTCCTAGGTACACGACATAAAACTCACAATTCTCCTTTTTCATATCAGTGACAAATTGTTTCTTCAAATATACCGCCCTCGAATCATTAACCAACGCATCTTTTAGTTTATGAAAGGTTCGTCCAGATTCCAGCTCTAACAATTATGTTTGTATTTTAGCACATGATTTCTGTACAGACCATAGCAATATAAATTACCATTCTTCAAACAATTAAACAGGTACCCAGAAGCATTTGGGCAAAGGGGCAAGATAAACAATCCCGTTCCAAAAACAATTTTGGCAGGATCGTACGAAAATAGAGAGTCTGCATTTTTAAAAACCTGTGCAAGATTGTAGTTTATATGTATGTATGTATATATTGTAAATTTACCATCTGCATGAATAATTTAGAGAAATGTACATATATTTTTTAAACAGTATAAAAAGCATGCACACATACATTATTTTTATCAAATTACCAATGCTGAAGGGTCAATCAAACAAATCCGGTCAAAGTCCAAAATTGTTGCGCAAGTGAGCATGAGTTGACTCCAAAAATCCACTTTTAAGCCCGGAAATCTTATCAGTTGAACCATATCGTCAAACTGGTTAGCCAAATTGGTCCTAAAATCAGGTTAGAGACACATTAGAATTGTTCGATAAAACTAAATCAGTACTGCATTTGCTGATGGGTTTAGTTAAAATTGTGTGCTATATTCGTACGCTTATAAATTATTTATAAAAAAATCAAAGATCAGGTTAGCCAAAGTAATAAATAATTTCTGAAAATAATGGCTTTCACGAGAAAACGACATTTTAGTTTACGGAAATATAAAAACCTAACACTTACCAAGAGTCGATTCCAATTTCAGAATCGTACAAAATCAAAACCTTTTTAAAGGTTTTAGTTTCCTTGATGGATTTCAGCAAAATTAAGGCTTCTTCCACCTCACCCGTGTTGCGGGCAAATGTTGCGTACGCTTCTTTTTCCATTTTCCGAACAGCTTTAACTCGGTGAATATTTTTGTGAAAAATATGCACGAAAATATTTGGAATGATTGGTTTTGAAGTTTATTTCGAGTGAATTCAAAGTTATATTGCAAGAATGGCCCGACGTACTAATCGGATCCCGTATTTATTCAAAATTCCAAGGTTGAGCCGGTGACTTTTACACTTTTATTTAATACTTGCCAACTTAACCAAGGTCGCGAAAGGTGTGAAGTGTTATTTAAAAATTAAAATTAATTAAAATTTATGAAACTCAACTTGAGTAGAACGATTCATGTTCTTTTTAAATAAAAATGTGGATGAATACATACAATCTTAAAAATATTGTACTTCTTCTGCTAAATGTGCAAGCGCAGTTCGTATTAGGCAAACGATACCAAGTTCCGAGTAAATTTTGTTCTTTATCAAGTTACTCTGAATTTAGTATAGTTTACTTAATACAGAATTTTGAGTGGATTTACTTTTTAAAAGCATTGCAGTATTTTTTGGAGTGTATGAATAGGTCAGGATTTGGTATTTTTATTATTCAAATTTAAGGTACTATGTTTATTATTCAGTTTATATATTATTTTTATGTATTTATGTAACTTGCATTAAGCAAATTATATGCAAGGGTTCCGGATTTATGTTTACTCCCAGGTACGAATGATGCACCAAATCCATGTGCAAATTTGTAAATCACAGAGAAAGATATTTGTTTTCTGGCAAACATTGACGATCTGCATGAAATGATTGTCTTGCATTTTCATGCAATGCATTTTTCATGTGATGGCGCATCCCGTGCAACACTGGGGACTACGTCAACGTGTAATTTGTAAATTTTTAGTCACGGTCTCGTTAATGCTTTAATTTGTATTCTTATTCAACCCTGGAATTTCCAACAACACTGGAAATCGCGAAATATTAATACATACAAAGCAATGTAGAAACCCCAGGCTACATTGCATTTGTTGGTGTTCAAAAAAATTATTCTCATAGTTCGCGTGTAGTAGATTAATATCTATAATGGTGGACGATTATGACCACCCTTTACACAAACATAGTTGGGGTAGCTCCAAGTAAACAGTAAACGCACGGAAAGAAGTAGCCTTCGGTTTGACTTCACTTCGCCCCAATTATGTATGCCCAAGATATTGCGGGGACACTTAATTTTAGTGAGAGAATCACGATTCGAAAACATGTCATTGTAACCACACCCCCTGACCTCTTACCTCTGACCTCTGGTTGTCTGATTTACCGTAAAAGTTGATACGATCCTCCCGATGGGGTCATTATTTCGTTATCCCTCTGACGGACAAACTAGCATATGGACAGACAACCAAAGTTTGCGCATAAAGAAGCTTATACAATAAACCTTACCAAACGACTCAAGAAAAGTTTCCCTTCGAGTCCCCCTTCACCCCAGCCATTACAAGTACAGCGCGGGAATAATTTATTCCACTCTAATGCAATCTAGTGGGTGAATGTCTGCAAAAATTTCATTTTGCCCCGACCACACCCGCGGGGGGGGGGGGGGTGGCCCGGTTAACCCCGAAAGTTGATACTATCCTTCCCCTGGGGTCATATGTATGATGCCGCAAACCGATTTTCCTTCCTCCATTATCCTGCTGAGGACAGACGGACAGACAGACACAGTCTTCGCAAAAAGTAGCTGAAGCAACTTAACCAGTAAATCGGAACATCTGCATAGGTGGTTATCTTATATGGTATGTTGTACATACGTCGTAAAAATGTGAGGTGCTTAATTATTTGCTTAATTAGGCTAATCTGATGTCCCTCTTTGCGTAATTACTGTGAGCCACAAACTGTATGAACCAGACAGGTGGTAAAGCAAAACAGGGTCGGTGGGGAACCACGTGATAAAAACTTGAATATTTGCCATAATGTAGAATATTAAACATTCATTTCGTCTACGTTGGGTGTGTTGTTGTACGTTATGCAAATAAAGTCGTAAAACTCTGAGTTGCTTAATTAGCCTAATCTCGTGTCCATCTTTGCCTTATTACGTAGTTATGACGCACAAAGTTTGTGCATGAAACAGAGGACAAGAAACCACGTGAAAAATTGAAACTTACGTAATTTTGAAAATAAACCATTAGTAAATTTTGTTTCTATACAATTTTTTAAATTATGGCTAGGTTTCCAAATTTTGTGGTTATCCACACACCCTTTTTGCAATTTTTTATGTACTTATGTATTTTTAATTTTATGATTTTTAATTCGTTTATTGTGGCCAGTTTGTCTAACAATTGGGACACCTATGTATGTATCAAATTTGTGCTCACATTTATGTACGTATCTGTCAATAGTTAACAACATTTATGAACGGCCCCTCATTTATTAAAACAAAAGTGTATTCGACTAGCATGCACTTGTTAATGATTTTTAATTCGCTCATCTCGATAAGTTCACCGAACAATGTAAGTATGTAAATATGTTCGCATTTCCATTTATTTAAACATTGCATTCAATGTGTAACCGATAACAATCAAACATCACACCACCCAAAAAGGATGTACCTGAAACGTATTTATACACAATTGCCTAAAGTTGGCAAGCGTAACTATTTATGTATGTACATAAGTAAGAATCAGCAACAAAGTTTACGCCAGGTTTTGCCGTCCGTCTTCTTAATGAGGGAACGTTCATAAATTATGTCACGTAACAAATTCCGATTGTTCAGATACACCCTCATAAAGCATGTGGCCCAAATCGACCTTATCACGCTAAAATTCTACTCGCCATCTCATCTTAGCCGTGACATAATTTATGGACGTCCCCTCAGTAAATATTATGCAATTGTGTACGACCGGTTTTGCAGTCATAATTTTCCGTCGCAGTAAATAATCGTACTCTTATTTATTTAGTATCTACAGTTGTGTTTCTGGAGAAGATTTGGAAGGGTAAACATTCCTTTACAGACGCAACAAGAGTACGATTTTTCGCCATGTTCGCGCAGGTGGTGGTCGATCCGGAGGAGGGTGTTGCGGAAAACGCCCGGGCAAAATTGGCAAACGCACTCTGAATTTGCAGTCTGCAAAAATTTAAAAAAAAATTGTACGCACTAACGACACTAATTTTAATTTAAATCTAATGTCTTTTACAACTTTCTTTGAAAAATGGAGTCAAACTGAGCATGCTCCCGACAACGTATTACAATTATTTAGCATCGAAACTCAACAAAAAAACTTGCGCACAAGAAAATCTGTATAACTAGACGATTTCTGAAGTATGACGTCGCAAATTTCGAAGATCAGCTATTGTTTTGCACATATTTTGGCCTTGTTTTCACAAATTTCTATAATTTCTCTCGTTGGTGCTGAATTTACGAACCAATTTTTCGTAATCAGAACATGTCCATTTACGGGTAGAAAACAATATTCCCGCCAGAGTTAAAACTCTTGCTGGAAAACCGTATTGAAAATTTTACTCTAGTTCCCAATATTGCGAAATCTTCCAAAACTTCGCAATTTTCATATTTTGCTGTACTAAATTTACGAACCTTGACGTGAGGCTGGTCAGTAAATCGCATCTCAGATATACAATTATACAAATTTGCTTACTATTTTAGGGGATTCGCAACTCTCCAAATGGGTCACCCAAACAGCTTCCGAGTCAATCTTGGTCTCACATTCATACGGACAGGACGTCTTGTCCGAAAAATGGACCAATTCCACGTGCTCAGGCATGCTTGCCTTCCTGACGAAAGTCTTGGAGCACATGTCACAAGGAAATCGTGTCATTTGCAAACGCGGTCTGGGCGGCATTGGGGCATTGTGAAATTCCTTCATATCGCTTTTAAGCGATATCGATTTTAAGCGATTTGAAAATTCAAAGCATCCTCGCGACTAAACACGCTCAGACATAAGGTGCAATTCCTCTTAATCCCGCCATTTCGGCTATGAATGTGGTCGATTAAGGCGGCCAAAGTCGTGAAACGCTCATCGCATTCCAGACAACAAGCAGCTTTCGGATTTTGAGCTTCACATCTGTAAAAATAGAGATTTTGAGGTTTATATCTGCATACAGAATTAAGATTTTTTGTAAAAACACTAAAACAGTAGGGGAGGATTTGATAAGACACGGTATGTGCGCATCACAATTAGCCTTGAAGATCGCGAAATATAGATTTTCACTCACCGCTCTCCCGCCTTTTGGAAGCTATGAAAAATTCTTTGATATACATATATAGTGTGCTCAATAATTTCGAGAATTTTTTCCCGCGTTCATATTACGATAACCAGTTACTTAAGATAAAATTAAGTTGGATTCAAACTAGAAGGTACATAAGTTTATGGCTAACAAATACTATATATGAGAAATTTTTGGCAGGTTGTGTAGTTTTCGCGATATCGGCATAGACAACCTGACGTGGCACAAAAATTTTCACCTTTACTACCTGGTTTTCAATATTTCAGAACTCAAAGGAATTATACGATCAACAGTGTATGACATCATGAAATATTACCCTGAGGTATCCTCCCTTACTGGCAGAAAATGATCCGGCCAATCTCCCACAGGAAGGCATAAACCACAATGAAAGCACTAAACATGCGAATTTTTAGAAATTCTCGCCGATCTCAAAAGAGTTCGAAACTACAATTGCAGGTTTCGCACGAGATTGTTCAAATGCCACTTTTAGAAGACCTTAGGGTTCCCCCAATAGGTCGATCCATATACTATATTTTGACACGTCAGTTGGAGAAGAATAAAGTAATCGGATTCCGAGTACTTATCCAGAGGCACGGTAGGAAAAATTACAAAAATATCATCTTAAGGAATCCTTTAGCAAAGAGGGTTATTTACCAGACCAGACTAGTTAGATAACTTAATTAAGAGCGGTATATTTATGTAATACGTTGTGTTGAAAAAGAAAAATATATTGTTTGTGTATTAGGATTATGACCTGTTGCTGAATAGTAGAAGGTTCATAAATACTATGAACCAAACACATTTAGATTCATACTATCGTATTCACGACAAATCCAAAAAATTAAACGAAGGTTTATGAAATTTGGTAAATTTAATCGCAAAACTTTTTAATTCGACAAGTGGATAATTCGTTTTTTACCAATATCTACTAATCACAAGCACAACCTTAACTCTTGTGTTCTGGCTTTGTACTTTTTTTCGTAAGTTTATCCTGCGTTCCCAAAAAACATGGGGAAGAGTAAAATCGGCACCCATTATTAAATTAAGGTGCAAACATTAAAGAGGTGACTATTCTTTCCTGCTGGTCAAACAAATCCCTCCTCCTGGAACTCGTTCGGGTTCATGTGATCGTAAAGTTACGGGATTATTTCTCAACTTACATATGTACATGTAAAGCCATTTAATCGTAATTTAACGTCACATGATCGCCTTACGAGCTCACTGAGGAGGGATG